ATTTGATTACGCTGTAAAGTTATTTCCATCCTGATTTTACAGAGATGATTTTTACCTTTCTTTCTTTAATTAAAAGCCTTCTTTTTAAGAACCTGATTGATTTTTCCTTGTTTTAAGATCCAAGGGGATTGGAGCTGGACTCACCAGGAATTGGTGGGGGGGAAAGGGGGGGGGATTGATTAATTCCTCCTTGTTTTAAGATCCCAGGGGGTTGGATCGGTGTTCACCAGGGAATTGGTGGAGGAGTCTCTCAAGGTACCCAGGGAGGGAAAGGTTTTTTGGGGGGAGGACAGAGTTTCCCAAATAACTCATAAATCATTTGGGTGGTGGCAGCAAAAGCAGATCTAAGCTGGTAGTTAAGTTTAGAAGTTTTCATGCAGGTCCCCACCTCTGTACCCTAAAGTTCAGAGTGGGGAAGGAACCTTGACAGCATAGGTGTTCAGTTAGTATCTGGTCCTGTGCTCACTGACAGCAATGGCAAAACTCCCATTGACTTCTGCAGTACAGTATAAAGCACTTAATCCAGGCAAAATAGACTTTCTTTATACCTTTGGCCCATCTTCTCCGGTCTCTCCGGGGGCTCCTGGATAACCCTGAGTGGAAGGAAAAATAAAGGAATGGTCATATAATAGAGTTATCCAAACTTTTATGTTATGTAAAGTGAAAGACATCAGTAAGATCATGATTCTTTGATTGACAGGCATTAGAGCCTTCACCTCCGATCAGTCATGCTTCAGATCAGATATAGACCTTGCAGTCGGCTTCTTGCAAAACATACAGTCAGGTGTAATTTCCTTTAATAATAACAACAATTCCATTACATTTTGATTCTTTTATAAGACGAATCCTTTCCGAATGGCAGCTCTTTGTAGTCATTCTAAGTAAAGAATTAAAAACCTACAGCAGTGTGATAGGGTATGCACCCCACACAGCCCTGAAAGGATTAGTGTGGGCCTGAAGGGCCAATTAGGGTATCTGGCTGCACCTGGAAGGAGACCCACGCTTAACTCAACATGAAGCCCAGCTGGGCAGAAGCAGGCTGGTTAGTATAAAAAGACTGGAAGTTGCAAGCTGAATAAAGCTGTAGGGAGAGTCTACAGTCACTCGCTAAGCACAGAGAAGTGGATAGGAATAAAGCCAGGTGGCAATAACAACCCTGGGATCCTATCTCTGTGGGAAAGGTTTACCCAGAGTAGTTGAGGGGAAGAAAGCCTGTAGAAGGCCAAGTAGGAAGAAGCCCAGGGAAAATGCTGCAAGGGTGTGAAGACCTTGTCTGCTGATGGTAGGGTTCCTGGGCTGGAAGCCAGAGTAGTGGGTGGGGCCAAGTTCCCCTATCAGCCACTGGGGAAGTGGTACAGACTGGGAGTCGGCAAAGAGGACTGCCAAGGACAGTAGGTTCTGAGGGACTTTGATACCCCAGAAGGGGTAAAATTATATAATGACCTGGCTGGTGGGCTGAGTCACAAGGAAAGCA